ATTAAAGAATAAAAAGATGTATGCTGAGAGCAAAGTGATGGAACGGGCTTTTTTAGAAAACTAGAGATTGAGTGCCAGAGTGATGTGAGAATCACAAATGAGAAAAGGGTGGGAAATAATACTCGAAGAAACAGGCTCCTCGTGAACTGAGAGGTCTCCCATTGTTGGAACACAGCTGAGTGTTGTGTGTGCGTGTTTTTTGTTTGTCTCGATTCTTGTTTTGAGTCATTTCGGGTGTCTATAGATGTGTTTAGGTTGTTTACCTTGTCTTTCCTCTTTGTTGAGTCATTTTGGCTGTGGTCAGTCGTAGGCACAATACCCGGTTTAGAACTCATTTCTTCATTTCATTACAAAAACAAATCGTTTTGTGCTCAGAGTGTTGTGCCATTCTCCACATTTGTACAAAACAAAATTCTTTCTTTCATAAACCTCAGGGTTAAACCCAAGTCATGCAAGAACAGTAAAAGAAGGACCTATCTGAAGCTATATAGGTTCCAGACTGCAAAGCAAAAGAAAAGAGGGAAAGTTTGGAGCATCTTAGCATGTTTTAACTTCAACAAATTCCGAGACTACATTCCAGGTGCACCTTCTCAGGCCTCGCTATTTCTCTGGAGTAAGAGTGTGTCTCGACGCCAAGTGTAAGCTTGCTTCAAGTCAGAATGGCAGTCCAAGCAGCACCTGTGGTTTTCACATGCAGATGTTATCTCTTGCCAATATAAACAGGATGTACCCTTTTCGAGCTGAGTGTGTTGCAAAGCCCTTTGAGAGATAAATCGGAGGCACCAGAGTACATGTTTGATGCCCCTCTACTGCATAGAATGTGCACTTTCATATACACTTCTGTTGCATGTGTGCCGCGCATCGTTATGATTCATGCATAGAATATGCTTTCAATGTTGCATAAAATATGCCTGTCTCATGCATAGAATATGCTTTCAATGTTGCATAGAATATGCCTATCTCTTGCATAGAATATGCTTGCTTTCAATTTTGCATAGAATATGCTTTCAATATTGCATAGAATATGCTCTTGTTTCATGCATAGAAAATGCACTCTCCCATTCTTGCCTAGAAAATGCTCGAATCCTTTACATGGAAAATGCACCCATCCTTGCATAGAATATGCTTTCCATGTTGCATAGAAAATGCCCCCATACTTGCGTAGAAAATGCATTTTATCGCACTTTTTTGTGCACGTCACTTGCATAGAAAATGCATTTTATCGCACTTCTTTTGTGCACGTTCCTCGCACTGTCTTGTGCACTTACACTTTGTATCTCAGTCGCACTGTCTTGTGCATCTTGTGGTTGTGTTTCACTCACACTATCTTGTGCATTGCATTACACTCGCGGTTTTTAGCGCATCGCACTGTTTAGTGCATTTCAAATCAATCGCGCTATTTAGCGTATCGCACTGTGTAGTGCATTACAAATCACTCGCGCTGTTTAGTGCATTTCAAATCACTCGCGCTTTCTTGTGCATTCGCGCTTTCTTGCGCATCGCACTGTTTTGTGCAGTTTACACTTGCGCTTTCTTGCACATCGCACTGCTTTGTGCAGTTTACACTCACGCTTTCTGGCACATCGCACTGCTTTGTGCAGTTTACACTCACGCTTTCTGGCGCATCGCACTGTGTTGTGCAGTTTACATTCGTGTTTTCTTGCGCATCGCATTGTCATGTGCATTCTTTGGTCTGGGAGACCTTAAATCCTGCATCTCCACTCGCACTTTCTTGTGAACTCTCTGGTCTGGGAGAGCCTAAATCCTCTGGTCTAGGAGACCTTAAATCCTGCATCTCCACTCGCACTTTCTTGTGCACTCTCTGGTCTGGGAGACCCTAAATTCTCTGGTCTAGGAGACCTTAAATCCTGCATCTCGGCTTGCACTTTCTTGTGCACTCTCGGGTCTAGGAGACCTTAAATCCTCTAAAGGTGCAATTCCTTTGGTGTTTGTCGTGCCCGAATGACTTCTAGTGGTCTGGTATAGCCACTTGCCTGTGTTTGAGGTGAGTTCCTAGGAGATCAACTGAGATGGTGAAAACTAGAGTTCGAACGGCCGATGCCTAGAACGCAAAGGTTCGGGATTTTCGAGACTAAAGTCTGGTTTAAATACCTAGGGGTGTATCCCCGACTTGAAATCTGTATGGCAGCCCCATAGATTGAGATATCATGTGTATGCGCCTCAATTCTGGATACTAAACCAACCTAGGATGTCACCCTATTGGAGAATAGGGAAAGCTGCGACCATAGCCACGGAGAAAAGTAGTACCTGTGGTTCAGAAACGCAAGATGTAGAAGAGGAAGATCCCCAGTAGCATGAGGTGAGTCATCACCAATTGCCCCTGCAAGGTACTTTCGCTTCCCAGCTACCTTGCATTTTATCTATTACATTGCATTGTACATAGCATCTATCACATGCATTTAATGCATTATTCGTTGCATCATGCATCCTTTCCATGTTAAGCTTAGTCTGGCATGTGCTCATACCATTTCCTTCGTTGAAGCATGGTTTTGTGACTATGTGTAAGCGTCTATTCCACTAAAAGAATTGTGGTCTGAGGGTGTCGGTACCTTTTCTGTGTCAGACGTGGTCTGTTTTGTGTTCATGCCTTTTTTAGGCAAAATATGGTTTGGCCGTGCGCCTTATTCACTTCATCCATTGCATCCATTGCATCGTATTTTGTTTGTTGCATTTAGCAGGTTGGATCATGATCTTTCCTCAGCAGATCATTCCTTACTTATATCATGCCACCCAATTACTTGTATTCTTTCTGCAAAACACATAGTTATGTCTGCGCATGCACCTATTCCACTAAGAGAATTGTGGTCAGAACGCTCTAGCACCTTTTCTATGTTACACGTAGTTTGATTTTGCATCTCCATCCCTTTATGATATTTGTGTGGTTTTGTACTGCTTGTGGTTTGATGATTCAAATACATTGTATGTTATTACATTGTTTTGTTGAATTGTGTATCATGTTGCATTCTGCCCCCTGAACTACGTTGGTTTGATTCCTTACAAAGGGATACGTAGCCTACGGGCGCAACCATTTATTTATCTGTATTTTGTTGGTATGTCCAAGTCTTCGGCCTTGTCAAAAATGGGTCGTCTCTGGGCTTTGACATTCACTCCCGTCATTTCATGACTTACGAGTTCTATCAAAAAGGGTCAACTGTAGACACTCCATTTTTGACCGACCTTAAGACTTGGGCGCTATTGATGGCTTCCTTGGTGATGAAAGTTGTGCAGGTTATGCTATGTAAAGGGTCGGTTTATTTGGCAAGAAGAGTGTCAAATCCAAACCTCACACCCCATTGTTGGACCAAAAAGATTTTAGATATTAAAACTCTCTCTTTCAAAATATTTTAAAAAAGGGTTCCTGCGATGCTCCGAGGCTCACATTTTGTTAAATGTTGTGTTTTTCGGTAAATCGAGCAAGGACAAAGTGAAAATGAAAGAAAGAGAGATGAACTCTTTGGAAAATCTTTCAAAACACCTTGTTTACGGTTTTGGATTTGAAGAAAAGAAGAGGAGAGGGAAGAAACCTAGTTGAGAAAAAAGTTGGGCATGAATCGTTAAGAGAGAGACGAGCAGTCCTCGCCAAATTAGGCCTATCATTTGTATACTTGGATTTAAGTTATGAAGCCACCACCATTGGAAAAAAGACTTCCATGGCTTCATTTCACACTCAAGAATCTCCTAAAGCCGAGTCCGGATGGGGGAGATATGATTGGTTGAAGTTGGGCATCAATCCGGGTAGGATTAAAATTGAGTGGCTTCACCAAAACAGGCATAACTTTTTTCACAGTTGGAATTTTGATGCAAGGCTGCCACCGTTGGAAGTCTTACTTCCGGGGGATTCAATTTGGACACAAGAATGACCTAGAAAGGAGTTCATATGGAGGAGTTATGCCCATTTGAAGTCGGGCCCGAAAAGGCAGACTTTTGTGGCCGATCGGCCAAAAAAGCAGCAGATTGGCCATCACAAGTAGCAGATCAACACCAGAGATGGCCGATTGGCCAAGGGTGACCCAAACTCAGATTGTTTGAAGATATTTTCTCCTGCAACTATTTCCAACAAGCTCCAGTTGTCCCAACTTAGATATTTTCGACGAAAAGCTCCTGAATGGTTTTATATGAACCTATATATCATATTTTTGAAGGGTTAGAACTTCTTGAACAAGTTTGAGAGCTTCTCTCACTAAACTCCCACTCTCTCTAAAAAATCTTCACAGCAAAATCTCTGCCTCTCTCTCTCTTGCCCTTTGGTGCATAGAAGTACATAGAAGTAGAGAAATACAACTAGTTTGCCTAGGCATCCTTCATGAAAGTTGCATATCTACGGGCTGAAGTCCCTTGGAGCTTATTTTTGGGGGCCGTTGGAAGGTCATTTGACCCAAGAAAGAGGCTGTTTTGAAGCTGTGCATCAAGGGTAAGAACTCTCTCCCTTTTAGCTTATTTTGCGTGCTTGCTTGGCCATCTTTTCACACTACTTTGGGGCTGTTTTTGGGGTGGTGTTGAACTACAAAAACCTCTATTTTTTCCTCTATTTTTCAGTCCTAAAAGTCTTGGTTTGTGCCATGGTTGGCTAGGGGGTTATCCTCACTTTTGCTCCTTGGCTTGTAAGGCCTTGTGAGCTAACTTTCAAACTTTTCAAACAACTTATTTTTAGCCTTAGAACCACTGAATTCTAGAGGAATTTCAGTGGTAAAAACCCTATTTTGAGGGCCCAAATAGGAGAGGGTGGTCCCCTCCCCTCTTGTCTTGCTTGCTAGTGTTGATAGCAAACCAAATGAGCATGTGTTTTTACTTCTTTGTGGCTTTGTTTAGGCTCATTTTTGTGACTTTTGGGACCTTCCATAACTCTGTTTTAGGCTGGTTTGATCACCTCTTGCATGCTTTATACACTTGTAGTGTAAACTTGCACACTAGCCCAACATGGATCATGCTTTAGACCATCATTCTAGTGTGATTTTGGCTTAACTCCAAGAAGCTTAGATTCATGGGTTTTTTCTGATATTAGTCTTCTTAATTTTTTCTTTCTTTTCTATCAAATCCTTAGGTACCCATTTCCAAAAGAATCAGAATTTCAGAATTTGATCATCAAATTTCAAAAATTGACCATTTCATGGTTTGAACACTCTGGGGATTTCTAATTTGACACCACCTCTCTCTCTCTCTCTCTCTCTTCTTGATCCATCACCATAACCTCATACAATGTATGGAACTGAGGGCGGAATAGACATGGCCTTAGAATTTCAGTCCCATATCCCCATTTTGAGGCCAAGCATTCATGCCAGGAGGGCAAACCTAACTGTAAAGTTTCAAGATCTTTATGGGTTCACAGTAGAAGGAAATGTTGATGATGTTAATGTATTGAATGAGGTTAGAGAGAAGGTGAGGCAACAGGGTAGGGTTTGGTGGGCTTTGGAGGCCAGCAAAGGGGCCAATTGGTATTTGCAGACTCAAATTTCATCAACCCTTAAATCTTCCCTTACATTTTCAGCTTTAGGTAATGCAGTTACCCTCAAGAAGCTCATCAGGAAGGGGATTCCGCCGGTTTTACGGCCTAAGGTCTGGTTTTCGCTCTCTGGGGCGGCTAAGAAGAAGTCCACGGTTCCAGAGACCTATTACAATGACTTGACCAAGGCTGTTGAGGGTAAGGTCACACCGGCAACGCTGCAGATCGATCATGTGAGTTATTGCCTTCGGTGTTACATTGATTGTTTGTGGCATTTCTTGGATTTGATTGTTATGGCATCGCTATTACTCCATTGTGAATGATCATGTTTACTCTGGATTGTTGGTTGGTTGTTTTGGATGAAATGGTTATGGCATTATTGTTCTTGTTGTTGCATTGTTTGATGTTGTTTGGATACAAAAGATGAGAAAATTTGCAGTTGGAATCTATTATAACACACTTATCTTAATTATCCTCTCTGTTTGATGCTGAACATGAAATTTCCTGGTTCAGGTGAGTTTGTTTAGTTTGCATTGTATTACTTTTACAGCATAAATTTTGTCATACTCTGCATTGTGTCAAGCGGCCCATTTCAAAGTGCTGGAAATTGTTAGGGCGAATTGGGAAATGCTATTGATTCAAAGGAACATGAATTCTCAAACTCTCCAAGTCTTAGTTTATTAACATAGATGAATTTTATAAGATCAATTAAAGATTAGAGCTTATGTAAGGTACAATTGTACATTTTGTTTTGCAGTATTTTTTATGTGATATGTAAGGAGGATTATGGAGGATTAGGTTTTTATTTTCTTGGATTGTGTACTTGTAATTCTTGATTTGTTTAGTAATGCCTTTATGTTCTCAAGTTGAACACTTGAAGCATGTTGTTTACATCAGAGTATACAATCTTTGTTTGTATATTTATATGCCTGACATTGTCTTACTTCTTCTTTTTTTAATATATGTGGAATGTTCATTGTGTACTTTTTGATGTGTTGATGGCTTAGTAATGCTTTTATTTTCTCAAGTTCAAGCATTGTTGTTTGGGATCAATGTGATAAGCAGAGTTTAAACAATCTGTGCTTGTGTATTTATATGTTTGTTCATTGTCTTTGTTTTGGAATATATCCGGTGTGTATATTGGCCACAGTTAGTATGGGAATAAAGGGGCAAGGTTAGACTGTGTGTCCCATGTCCCCCTCATCCCATGTTTGGTGGCCTCAAATGAGGCCAGCTGTGATTGACTGGTTGGGGCGAATAATCCCATGTAGAGGGTACTACTTAATCCCACTCTGGGCATTCTGTTAATGATGAGACTAAAGTGTGGACCATTTTGATTTTTTTGGGCAAATTACATTTCTAGACCATTTTGATTTTAATTGATGTATTTAAAGTCTGAATTGTTTCTATTCTTAGGTATGTAATGCATTGTTTTTTATTTTTAATTTTGTATTCAAGCTTAGTTTATTTATTATTTTAATAAACATTAATTATTAGTTCTTAATAATTGTTTGATAGGTTTTTTTTTTGTTCAATTATATAAAATTAACAAAATCTAAAAATTAAAAAACTCATTGTTTACACTTGTTTTAAATATTTGTGGACAATTTACAAAGTTGAGTAAACCGCGGAAATCATTGTGTGATAAACACTTGTTGAAAATTTGTGGGAAATTTACAAAGTTGAGTTAAACCGCCGAATCATTTGCTTAACATTGTTGAAATTTGTGGGACATTTACAAGTTTAATTAAGCCGAATCAATTGTTTAATACTTGTTTGAAAAATTGTGGACAATTTAACGTTGGAGTTAAAAGAAGTATTGTGTTTAACACTCACACCGTGTTGAAATTGTGGACCATTTTCACCAAGTTGAAGTTCAACGCAGAAAATTCCATGTTTAAAACACTTGTTTGAAATTCTCTACGGACAAATTTTACAATTAGTTAAGCCAAAATCATATTGTTAAACACTTGTTGAAATTTGTGGGATCAATTTTACAAGTTGACAGTTAAGCGCGATGTCATTCTTTAGCAACTTGTTGAAATTTGTCGACAATTTTACAAGTTGAAGTTAAACCGCAGTATGATGTTAAACACTTTGTTAAAAGTTCACAAGTTAAGATTAAAACGCAAGAACGTCTGTCTTATCCGAGGTGTGTCACCCATTCATCGTTAACCAAAAACTCACATTTCCAAACTTGCATACAATTGGTCTCTCAACAAATCAAGCACTAACCGCAAGTGGTTCTCGTGTTCCTCATCGGAGACTGAATAAATTAAGATGTCATCCAAAAGACGACCACGAAACGATCCAAGAATTCTCAAAAAATTCGGTTCATCAAATCCATAAGGAAACAGGTGCGTTGGTCAAACCAAAAGGCATTGCAAGAAATTCATAGTGGCCATAACACATACGAAAGGTCATTTTCTGGTTGTCCTCCTCCTGGACTCTCTCAACTGATGGTATCCCGACCTCAAATCTATCTTCGAGAAGCAGCGAGACCCTCTAAGTTGGTTAAATAAATCATCTATTTTGGGTAGAGGATACTTGTTCTTGAAGTAACTCGATTCAATTTGCGGTATATCATACATAACCGCAAACGACCA